ATGAAATATACCTTATACTAGCAAGGGCCTCGATACAGGCGCTATATAAGATATACATTATACTAGCAAGAGCGTGGATACAGGCGCTATATATGATATACATTATACTAGCAGGTGCGTGGATACAGGCACTATATAAGATATACACTATACTAGCAAGAGCGTGGATACAGGCGCTATGTAAGATATACATTATACTAGCAAGAGCGTGGATATAGGCGCTATATAAGATATACATTATACTAGCAGGTACGTGGATATAGGCGCTATATAAGATATACATTATACTAGCAAGGCGTGGATACAGGCGCTATATAAGATATACCTTATACTAGCAAGAGCGTGGATATAGGCGCTATATAAGATGTACATTATACTAGCAAGGCGTGGATACAGGCGCTATGTAAGATATACATTATACTAGCAAGAGCGTGGATATAGGCGCTATGTAAGATATACATTATACTAGCAGGTGCGCGGATACAGGCGCTATATAAGATATACATTATACTAACAAGAGCGTGGATATAGGCGCTATATAAGATATACATTATACTAGCAAGAGCGTGGATACAGGCGCTATATGAAATATACTTCATACTAGCAGGTGCGTGGATACAGGCGCTATATATAAGATATACATTATACTTATACTAGCAAGGCGTGGATACAGGCGCTATATAAGATATACATTATATAGCAAGGCGTATACAGGCGCTATATACTACATTATGATACTTTAAGGCGTGGATACGGGCGCTATATAAGATATACATTATACTAGCAAGAGCGTGGATACAGGCGATATATAAGATATACATTATACTAGCAGGTGCGTGGATACAGGGCGCTATATAAGATATACATTATACTAGCGAAGGTGCGTGGATACAGGCGCTATATAAGATATACATTATACTAGCAAGACGTGGATATAGGCGCTATGTAAGATATACATTATAATGGATACACTATATAAGATTACATTATACTAGCAGGTGCGTGGATACAGGCGCTATATAAGATATACATTATACCTAGGTGCGTGGATACAGGCGCTATATAAGATATACATTATACTTACAAGAATCGTGGATACAGGCGCTATATAAGATATACATTATACTAGCAAGGTGCGTTGATACAGGCGATATAAGGCGTTATACTAAGAAGGCGTGGATACAGGCGCTATATAAGATATACATTATACTTGCAAGGCGTGGATACGGCGCTATATAAGGATATACATTATACTAGCAGGTGCATGGATATGGGCGCTATATAAGACATACATTATACTAGCAAGAGCGTGGATACAGGCGCTATATAAGATATACATTATACTAGCAAGGCGTGGATACAGGCGCTATATAAGATATACATTATGCTAGCAAGGCGTGGATACAGGCGCTATATAAGATATACATTATACTAACAAGGCGTGGATACAGGCGCTATATAAGATATACATTATACTAACAAAGGCGTGGATATAGGCGCTATATAAGATATACATTTTACTAGCAAGGCGTGGATACAGGCGCTATATGAAATATACCTCATACTAGCAGGTGCGTGGATACAGGCGCTATATAAGATATACATTATACTTTCAAGAGCGTGGATGCAGGCGCTATATGAAATATACCTTATACTAGCAAGGGGCCTCGATACAGGCGCTATATAAGATATACATTATACTAGCAAGGCGTGGATACAGGCGCTATATAAGATAAACATTATACTAGGAAGAGCGTGGATACAGGCGCTATATAAGATATGCCTTATACTAGCAGGTGCGTGGATACAGGCGCTATATAAGATATACATTCTACTAGCATGAGCGTCGATACAGGCGCTATATAAGATATACATTATACTAGCAGGTGCTTGGATATAGGCCCTTTGTAAGACATACATTATACTAGCAAGAGCGTGGATACATGCGCTATATAAGATATACATTATCCTAGCAAGAGCGTCGATACAGGCGCTATATAAGATATACATTATACTAGCAGGTTCGTGGATACAGGCGCTATATAAGATATACATTATACTTGCAAGAGCGTGGATACAGGCGCTATATAAGATATAAATTATACTAGCATGAGCGCTTTATAAATAGTCATTATTATTCTTAATATTAATTTATGTATGAAATTGAAAGTGTGTGGTCTGGGTAAGAGGAACGCCATTACCTTGATATGATATATTACTTGATATATTACCTTTACCATATCAAGGATTTACGCTGCAGTTGTCTGACAAATGCATATACCTTGTCTTAAGACGTATTTTCTGCCGACAAATTTAAACCTCGCTGCTCCCCCTTACAATGAAGTCGTCAGAGACTGTTCCGATCTCAGACAGAAATGACACGCTGGAATTACCTATCGGGATGTCTGTAACACTCAGTACCACAGCTCGGTGTCCATGTGTACAATCTCGGGGTTGGAATTGTCAACTGTGAAGACCTCAATGGCTCTGGGACACAGAAAGGGATCAGAAAACTGAAATATATTGCGGACGCATTGACAATATCACAATACTGTGAAAGTAATCAGTGGACACAAACGAAGGATAACTGTCGTGTAACTATATGCGTGGACCCAGCTTCATCTGATCCTGGCGGTGATGAAGATGGCAGACAGTCTTGACCTTCAACATTCCTTCTGCCATGTTACAGGCCGATCTCCAGTGACCTTGATTTGAAATCAATAAAGATGTTAACCGACATTATACCCTTAAATATTTACCTCTCTGTTGATGAATGGTTACCATGATGGCAAAACGGATGGGAATTGTATATTTTAAGGTGTAGCAGGAAACGCTGATCACAGGTTCGAATCCCGATTATCATCCGATTTGTCATGACCATTGCCATGCTCGTCGGCATCCGTACCAGCAGTAAACTGTTTAAACTCCCGACCTTTGTCAGTAATGCCAATATAACTTAGGACGAAGAGAGACGTCTTGAGACATTTATGGAATTATTCCCTGAAACTGCAGCTGCGTTGCTATGACAACGGAAACCACGTAAAAAGGGGTTGACTATGGAACGGGACGTATATAGTAATTCTGGACTGTGTTTGAGATTTATTGGAGGTGTGTTATTGTTAGTTACATCGGTGATGTCATAGGGTAGGAACTACCCTCAGGAAATCGTGATTGAAAGAAGAAACAGAAGGGATCTTGTGTTACGGTGTGGTTGCTGCATGTTACCGTATCCTGTTTTGCTGGCTGAGGTCGATGCTCAGCATGTCAGTCACTGGATTGTCTGATCTAGACTATATCTACAGGCCAACTTCACATGGCTTCACCCGTGAAGATCCGGGTTAGAATTCAGTAACCCATGCTTGTCGTAAGAGGCGACTAACGGGATCGGGTGGTCATGCTCGCTGACTTGGTTGACACATGTCATCGTATCGCAGTTGCGTTGATCGATGTTCATGCTGTTGATCACTGGATTGTCTGACTCGATTAGTTAGGAGACATACTGCTGGGTGCGGCGTTAAACAACAAACAAACAGCAATATAATGTTCATCTGTGGATAGTCCATTACCCTCATGGAATTAATTCCCACTGATATTCCATATCTTCATTTACTGTTGTGTGGTCATGACGTCATTGCTTTGTGTTCTTGCAGATTCTCCTATGTGATAAATACCAGTCACTATCAAGACCCAATGTTCCTATATTGCTACAGAAGTCCTCGCATGGAGTGTTGGTTGGTAGTCTGTAGGCTGAGTCACCTTGATTGTGTTGGGTGCTTAGGGTGACACTGTTCTTGACATTGACGACATTTATTAAACGACATTTACTAACTAAAACAGGGCAGTTTCCTTAAAACAAATATGCTGTTGACCTTCCTCAGATTTAGGGGAAGATCCACACTCACTCACTCACCACTCACTCACTCAGAATTTGGGGAACTGGCTTTCCACCAACATTAATTGTCACAGTGGTCTAAGCCGCCAGAATAATTGTTGCTCATACGTTCATCCTCTGTAGGCGAGCCAGAATGCTTTCCTTTGCGGGTTCGAATCCCAGAGTAGTCCTGATCTGGGCGTGTCAGCACCGCACCCATGTTTATGGGTCGTCACAATCACCTGGATCACTTCAGGTTTAACTCACATTTAGCAGACACGCCGTCATACAAGTGGAATACGGTGTGAAGCTATGTTCAACCTAGCGCACCCAAGAACCCTTCAAATACTGTGCAAAACTGTGTTAAACCCAGCGCACCCAAGAACCCTTCAAATACTGTACAAAGCTGTCTTAAACCTAGCGCACCCAAGAACCCTTCAAATACTGTACAAAGCTGTGTTAAACCCAGAACACCCTAAAAGCCCTTTCAAATACTGTGCAAAACTGTGTTAAGCCCAGCACATCCAAGAATCCCTTCCAAATATATCTACGTATTGTGGTGAATCTAGGTCAAGGTTACTACACTATATATCTTAAGAACTTACTCTAAGGGGGATGAAGTGATCAGGCATAGTGACGTAGCTGATGACGTCATCATGACCTCAAGTGTGGAGACTCAAGCTGTCAACCACTGGTTTTCCTGCTTCCAACTAGAAGGACTCCAAAGTTATTATTGTTATAGGATATTGAGACTGGGTATTCTCTGGCGTTTTAAATTTGAAGGTTAAGTAGAACTGCAAAGTGTACCTTCATGTACTGTGCTTTAAAACAAACACAGTTTTATTCCTATATTGATATCGAAGGACGCTGCACCAATGAACTTCAGCAATGTTGACTATGTACTGCCTAAATTCAGCCCTTTGGAATTCCCTTTCTGCAACCATCCACAACTTCACAACATCTCTATTAAACCTGTCGATTATAAGAATACGCATTGCATACTATCCAGCAGTTTACCCCCTACCCCACGTACGGCAGATAACCTCCATCCGAGAACCGAGGTAATCATATCAATAGAGGACATGTTTTACACCTGGGGTACAATTTCCCTCTACACCGCTTTTGACGACCGAACCGAGAAGGTAGGTGTTGTCTGCTCGGAAAGTCAGAGACGATATTTCGTACCTCTGAAGGGCGGATATTGATTTGAGAATAATTTTGGGTTCGAATGATGACATATCTGACGAAAGGTCACATAATATACACACGTTTAAAACGAGAAAGTCCCTGTTTGTAGATTATACAATGTCAGTTATTTCTGTATGATTGTACTTTCGTTATTGAACTGGGTCATACAAGCGCCAAGTTCACTGTTGAGGTTGAAACAGGACATTTGTGTGCTAATGTTAATATCATGGAAAGGTATATGTTGCCTGGAAATACTTATGTGACATCTTAACACTCTGTTGGAATTACAGGGTCATAAATCCTAAATTTCAACCCTCTTCTCAACCGGAAGTTAGACATACCCTACTTTCGTCATGAAAATGATACACCGTTATCGCCTTCACGGCGCTCGCTGTAGACACCCAGACTGGTCAAAATACTCGGACAATGTTAAAGACTTTTACACGAATCAGTGCCGTGGGCATGGGGTGAACAATGTTCATTTGTGACACACTTACAGGCCCGACCAAGTGACATACGGAAAGAGCGAAAAAACTAAACCTGTTGTGTTTACAGTTTAACGATATCAACATGGAGTGGAATTAACACGAATATACTTTCGAAACCCCTAAATCATAGAACTCAGTTGGTAGATTCCCATCACAATATGCCATGCCAAAAACAAAACTGCAGATGAATCCGAACTTTTTCAAATATCAGAGTGAAGTTCGAGCCTTGTGGTGACAGGATGACTGGAAGTATGTATGATAAAGTAACACTCTATACACAGAGGTGATGAAGCATGTGATAAAGTAACACTCTCCATAAACAGAGGTGATGAAGGATGTGATAAAGTAACACTCTCCATACACAGAGGTGATGAAGTATGTGATAAAGTAACACTCTCTATACACAGAGATAAAGTGATGAAGTATGTGATAAAGTAACGCTCTCCATACACAGAGGTGACGAAGTATGTGATAAAGTAACACTCTCCATACAGTTGATGAAGTGATGAAGTATGTGATAAAGTAACACTCTCCATAAACAGAGGTGATGAATTATGTGATAAAGTAACACTCTATACACAGAGGTGATGAAGAATTTGATAAAGTAACACTCTCTATACACAGAGTGGATGAAGTATGTGATAAAGTAACACTCTCTATACACAGAGTGGATGAAGTATGTAATAAAGCAACTCTCCATACACCGAGGTGACGAAGTATGTGATAAAGTAACACTCTATACACAGAGGTGATGAAGTATGTGATAAAGTAACACTCTCCATAAAACAGAGGTGATGAAGTATGTGATAAAGTAACACTCTCTATACACAGAGGTGATGAAGTATGTGATAAAGTAACACTCTCCATACACAGAAGGTGACGAAGTATGTGATAAAGTAACACTCTCCATACACAGAGGTGATGAAGAATGTGATAAAGTGAGTACACTCTCCATACACACATAGGTGACGAAGTATGTGATAAAGTATTATTCACCTCCATACACAGAGGTGATGAAGAATGTGATAAAGTAACACTCTCCATACACACTATTCCAGAGGTGTTATCTATCACATAAATGTCGTCATGTCTTTAAATATTCTACGAGATGCAACTCTGTAAACGCTACGTGTTTCAAAGTATACTGAATAAGTCCATTCGTGAATCCGGGATACACAGAGGTGACGAAGTGGATTGGGTGGTCAGACTCAGTGTATTGGCTAGACAGCGTGGTCACCGCCCCAACTTCGTGGGTCGTTTCTTATAATGTCAATCTTAAACAGGGGTCTGGGATGTAGCTTTTGATAGAGGAATTTTCCTGACGTTAATTGACCTTTGCTGTCAGAATGAACTTAAAACAAAAAGCTTGCTACACATCTATATGGAACCAATTTTTCGTATGTATTTTCGACACTGATGAAAACAAATGGAATGCAGGATTTTACACTGTGTTGGTAGAACGTGTTACGTTTGTGAGTTCGTTCACTAAAACTCTTCATGATTAGTAGGGTTGATTGATCGATCGATTGTTTATTTGTTTGTTTGTTTGTTTATTGGCAAAATGGCGAAACCCACCGAGAGTGCGGGTATGGCGAAACCAAACACCATAATCAAGACCAATCTGGTGGGATTCCAGCAATCATAGGTTACTGCCACGTCTAAGGGACGCAACTCTGCACGGCGAATACTTGCAACACTTAAACAATAAATGCTTCATATCCTCTTTCAGATGGCTACCTCTCAGAAGCTGACGAAACATTACTTAACCTGTATCATCTGCTCCGGCGTCTTCAGTAATCCATGTACACTTGTGTGTAATCACACCTTCTGTCGGAAATGTATCGTCAACTACACCAAAACCAGACCAGAAGCCATCAGTGCCAAGTCCCTCCTCTGTCCATTCTGCAGCAAGATGACGAAAGTGTCCGACCCTGAGAGAGCCGTGAAGGAGTGGGCGGATGACGTCAAACCTATCTTTCTCATCCAGGGACTCTTGGACTCGTTTGGTCCGGGATCTAAAGGTAGACATGTGTTAAATACCTCCGTATCATACAATGACTCAGAAGTATAGTCTATTTCACCATAATGACTTCAAATAATAGCATGTGAGATAAAATAAAAATAGGTATCTGTATTTCCAAGCATCATAATAATATCAGTGGTTGACAGCCAACATGACAGGTATTATTTTGTTGTCAGGTACTTTGTACAATCTGTCATCGATACACCAGTGTACTGAACGTTAAACACCTACAACGTACAACCTCATCTTGCAGATACAACCTGCTGCAGCTATTGTAAAGAGGAAGGGGAGACAACTCCTGCCTCTGTTTTGCGCTATGTGTGTGATGATGCGTTATGTGGGAGATGCGTCAGAGTTCACAACCGCATCCCATCAGCTCGTCACCACGATATCACTGACCTGTCCGGGGAAGTAAAGATCAAACGAAGGCGGATGGTCATGTGTAAAGAACACAAGGATGAAAGTGTTAAGTTGTTGTGTAAAGATTGCGGGAAAGCAGTTTGTCAAACCTGTTGTACCATCTACCACAGGCAATGTGTCTCTGTGGTCAGCTTGGAATCAGAGATGCATACAATGAAAGCAGCACTGACGCGGGCGACGGGCAATTTGTCACAGAGAAAGGAGAAAATCAACAAAGAGATGGAGACAAAGAAATCCAAGCTGAAAGATCGAAACATTTCGATTTAAAGAAATGAAATCACATATTAACTCTGAAGCTGTCAAGGCGATAGAACAGATTAAACTCAAGGAACGGAGACTTCTTTGATGAACTGAAAGAGATGTCAGACAAATACATCGAACAAATGGAGGCAGACATAAAATCAGGTGAGATGTCAGTACAGATGTACCAACAACAGACGGAGCTGATAGACCAGGCTCTACAATCGGAGTGTGACATGGATGTGTATGAAATGTATCAGGGATGTGAGGCCGGTGATGTGGAGGCTGTCGGAGACGCTGACCTGAAAGGAGGAGGAAGAATAGCCAGTGTCACATTCAGACAGGACACAGACAAGCTGAGTAAAGCACTGGACGATCTACAGCTGGGTGAGATAGAGGTCCTGCATGAGAGTGTGCTGGACCTGAAGGCTACTCCTGTGTTACAAGACACCATTGACGTCAGAGTAGCTGGCGATACACTCACAGCGTTGCCTACTGGAGTGACAGTGGTGGTGGTGGATGGTACAGACACGGTTGTAGTCACCGACAACAACAACAAGAGGTGAAGTCCTTCTACACCAGCAACAATCAGCCAGGCCACAGTAAGCTCCTGCTTGATGGAGGTCCCTGGGGTATTACGAAGAAGTTGACACACGATCAGGTAGCTGTCACTGTGCCAGGCACCAAACAGATTATAACAGTAAAAGTCAAACCACACCTGGAGTTACAGACAACCATCACAACCAGCAAACACTATATGGGTATAACGTCCCTGACTCCATCAACACTAGCAGCTAGTTCCCGGTCTCCTCCCTGTGTTGATATCCTGGATATGACAGGAAACGTGCTGAGGTCTATCAGTCCACTCCACAAAGGTAACAACATCTTACAGTATCCCAACTTCCTCAGTACCACGAGGACAGGTAACATCCTGGTGTCTGACTGTGGAACCAAGTGTGTCGTGTCTGACCCCGAGGGAGATGTGGTGTTCAGCTACAGCCCTACAGGAGACACAGCACTGGGGATCCTCAGGGTATCACAAGTACCGACACAGGCGACATCCTGGTTACAGACTTCAGACAACACAGAGTCATCCATCTGACTGAGTCAGGACAGTTTGTACAAAATCTGCTGACATCCAAGGACTGTATTCAGAATCCACGTGGACTATGTATAGATGAGAGAGGGTGGCTACGTGTTTGTCTTAACAAGGGTGTCATACAGACGTTCTCGTGTAAATAGAGAAACACTGATGAGCTGCTGCTACATGTCAGGACATTCTGGTAGAAACATACAGACAGAAGATGATAGTGTTGTGCTGCTACATGTCAGGACATTCTGGTAGAAACATACAGACAGAAGATGGTAGTGTTGTGCTGCTACATGTCAGGACATTCTGGTAGAAACATACAGACAGAAGATGGTAGTGTTGTGCTGCTACATGTCAGGACATTCTGGTAGAAACAGACAGACAGAAGATGGTAGTGTTGTGCTGCCACATGTCAGGACATTCTGGTAGAAACAGACAGACAGAAGATGGTAGTGTTGTGCTGCTCGGGCATGTCAGGACATTCTGGTAGAAACATACAGACAGATGACGGTAGTGTTGTGCTGCTACATGTCAGGACATTCTGGTAGAAACATACAGACAGAAGATGGTAGTGTTGTGCTGCTACATGTCAGGACATTCTGGTAGAAACATACAGACAGAAGATGGTAGTGTTGTGCTGCTACATGTCAGGACATTCTGGTAGAAACATACAGACAGAAGATGGTAGTGTTGTGCTGCTACATGTCAGGACATTCTGGTAGAAACATGCAGGCAGAAGATGGCAGTGTTGTGCTGCTACATGTCAGGACATTCTGGTAGAAACATGCAGACAGAAGATGATAGTGTTGTGCTGCTACATGTCAGGACATTCTGGTAGAAACATAGAGACAGATGATGGTAGTGTTGTGCTGCTACATGTCAGGACATTCCTGGTAGAAACATACAGACAGAAGATGGTAGTGTTGTGCTGCTGCTACATGTCAGGACATTCTGGTAGAAACATACAGACAGAAGATGGTAGTGTTGCTGCTGCTACATGTCAGGACATTCTGGTAGAAACAGACAGACAGAAGATGGTAGTGTTGTGCTGCTACATGTCAGGACATTCTGGTAGAAACATACAGACAGAAGATGGTAGTGTTGTGCTGCTACATGTCAGGACATTCTGGTAGAAACATACAGACAGATGACGGTAGTGTTGTGCTGCTACATGTCAGGACATTCTGGTAGAAACATACAGACAGAAGATGGTAGTGTTGTGCTGCTACATGTCAGGACATTCTGGTAGAAACATACAGACAGAAGATGGTAGTGTTGTGCTGCTACATGTCAGGACATTCTGGTAGAAACATACAGACAGAAGATGGTAGTGTTGTGCTGCTACATGTCAGGACATTCTGGTAGAAACATGCAGGCAGAAGATGGCAGTGTTGTGCTGCTACATGTCAGGACATTCTGGTAGAAACATGCAGACAGAAGATGATAGTGTTGTGCTGCTACATGTCAGGACATTCTGGTAGAAACATACAGACAGATGATGGTAGTGTTGTGCTGCTACATGTCAGGACATTCTGGTAGAAACATACAGACAGATGATGGTAGTGTTGTGCTGCTACATGTCAGGACATTCTGGTAGAAACATAAATACAGAAGATGGTAGTGTTGTGCTGCTACATGTCAGGACATTCTGGTAGAAACATACAGACAGATGATGGTAGTGTTGTGCTGCTACATGTCAGGACATTCTGGTAGAAACAGACAGACAGAAGATGATAGTGTTGTGCTGCTACATGTCAGGACATTCTGGTAGAAACATGCAGACAGAAGATGGTAGTGTTGTGCTGCTACATGTCAGGACATTCTGGTAGAAACATACAGACAGAAGATGGTAGTGTTGTGCTGCTACATGTCAGGACATTCTGGTAGAAACATACAGACAGATGATGGTAGTGTTGTGCTGCTACATGTCAGGACATCCTGGTAGAAACATACAGACAGATGATGGTAGTGTTGTGCTGCTACATGTCAGGACATTCTGGTAGAAACATAAATACAGAAGATGGTAGTGTTGTGCTACATACGTCAGGACATTCTGGTAGAAACATAGAGACAGATGATGGTAGTGTTGTGCTGCTACATGTCAGGACATTCTGGTAGAAACATACAGACAGATGATGGTAGTGTTGTGCTGCTACATGTCAGGACATTCTGGTAGAAACATACAGACAGATGATGGCAGTGTTGTGCTGCTACATGTCAGGACATTCTGGTAGAAACATACAGACAGAAGATGGTAGTGTTGTGGGTGTGTCCTCTTGTCTGTCTACAACAAGGTTTATCTAGTTGTCCATATTGTCACAAAACATCACAAAGTAACTGCCATGTGATGGCGACATGTAGTCAGACGATACAATCAAGTGATGAAGCTGTCACACGTGTATTTACTTATTTTGTTGAAACTGAAAGCGACGGCTGCTGTGTACAGATGTAAAATGTCTGAAAAGAAAGAAAAACGTAATACATGTGTATTGATTGTATCAATCTGTAAACTTGGTTCATGTCAGAATACACTGCTTTGTTGTACATTGGTTTCCCATCGAGTTCATTTAGGAACCTGGGCGGTGGGGTAGATTGTGGTTAAATCATTCGCTAGGTACGCAGAAGATAAGGGTTCGATTCCATGTGTGAAACCCATTTCTTGTGATCCCCGTCGTGATAGTGCTTAAAGCGGCGTAAAACTAAACTCGTTCATATTTTTTAACCAATCCAAGGGTAACTACTGCCACAATCAATCTATCAGATAGCTTGGATAATTCTGGGCGCGGCATGAAACATGAAACACACAATATGTAAACCAGTCGGTGACCTCCCTACACAAAACATGGCGTAGCCTCCACCTCATATACGTCATAGACCCTTACGTACGTAGTTGAGTGGACAGAGCGTCTGCCCAGAGAGGGTGGGAGGTTCGATCCCCGGTCGCGTCTTATTAGGTTAAAAGATGGTACCAGTTGGTACCCTTAGGAACGCTCGGCATTGATAACAACCAAAGACTGGTCAGCTCGGAGTCGGTGTGATATGAATGAGTAGGGAGATTGTATCTCCGTGGACTACCGCTACAACGTTGCTGCCAGTGTCGTTGTCACTGTTGTTGTCAATGTCCATGGACATGTTGAAGTCCATGTTGTGATGTCGTTTTCCACGATGGTGTCCATGTTGTTGTCCACGTTGTTTACCATGTGGTCAATGGCAGTGACGGCAGAGTGAGTGACACACTGTCTAAAACCCACAGAAGACAATCGACATCGTCACTGGATCAAGAGTTGGAGAAAAACAACAAACAACGGTGTTTATATCAACTGTTGTACTGAATAATATAATTCCAAGATTGAGACAGTCGTATGTACAGAATGCATCCATTGAATGATACAAAATGCTGCTGTCTTGCATAAACTCTTTCAGGTGGTGTCTGCTGCTAAAATAGATTTCGCCGCATGTTAAACATCTATAATTCACTTGGCACCACTTCCCAAGTTCCGTAATTGGTTATGTATTCTTAGAAAGTCATTTACGAAACATAGTTCCCCACCATTGTACGATATATGACAAAACGTTACGTTCATGAACAGAAACAATATCAGCGAAATGTACAGAGAATGTTTAAATTAGTAAAGCTATTTCACCAACGGTTTGTTTCAGGGTAGTAACTTAGTGCGTACCATCCTCGACAATCAGGGATATAACGTTCCACCGATAATATATATTTACTACATGTATGTCCAATATTATACCCCTGTGTGTCGAGGATGCTCGTCTCGTTGCTTGTGTTCTCCTTCTAGACCGTAATACACGTGGATCATTATGCCAAAAACAGGAGGTTCCTTCAAAGTACATTGTTGTAGACATATCAGTAAATTGTTTGACACCAATAATGTCTCTTCGAGACTATGAGCCTTGAGAACAGTGAAACCTCTCTAACCAGGACAGTAACATTCCCATTCAAATCGTCCGGAATAAGAAACGACCGGATTAATAAATCGTTGTTACTGGTTCCTGTCCTATGTAGATTGTTAACCGTGTCATATAAGTCCACATTGACGGGGTGCCACTGTAAGAACATGGACACAGTTTAGGCAGCATGTTATTGACAATAATGACCTCTTGGTGTCCTAAAGAAATGATAATTCGCATCATAAGTCAAGGCATTTTCTTGTAAACGATAACTTTTGGGGAGGTATTTGCAGATATACCACATATATTTTCGCCATATTCCTGAGGTACTCATGGACAGGGAGAATGGAACTGAGGTGTTCAGACAACCAGGGGAGCCCCGCTAATTCAAAATATTTACTTTCTGAACCACAAATGTAGACGAGCCCACTGTCTTGGTAAACCCCATGGGTTGAACCAGGGTTTAGTCCCTTAGAGTCAAGAATAATTAGGACGTGTTCTCTCAGAAGTTGTCTCCCCCTGGTTGTCTGGGAAATCTAGACACCAACATGATTGTCATAATACCTTCACAGCCATAGTATTATGTTATTTCACCTACAACTCATTGGATAGAATAAGACGGAAAATTGGTCCTAAATATTATGCAAGCGGTTTTACAGGATGACCACGTGTCACAATGGCGGAGATAAACAGCACCCAAATCGACATAGGGTTCAGAAGACAGGCGATCAATATCAAGTAAAAGACTGAAAACAAGACTAGACAAGCCATCGGACATATTACGTAGACACATCACACACTGTGTAACATATTAACTTATGTCCGTTATTCGATATATTGATTTAACACTGTATGGTTGGTGTATCTAAAATCGTAGTAATATCTGGCTTCCGGTGACGCATGCGTTGTGGGACCAGAATATAACGTGTTTCCGTAATGACATTCTGGAACATGGTCTAACTGTGTATTTATACAATAATATGTGCATAAAAAGTTGTTAAGATCAGTTGGGGATCTGTAATTCCGTATAACCTGGTCTTATGTATAGTCGAAGACACCAAGAATCTGTATGTGTAGTTTTATGTCGCGTTTAGCAATATCATGACAGGGACTCCAGAAATGTGTTTCCGGTTACCAAACCATCTTACAAAAAGACAAGAACTTGTATCCAGGAAGACTACAATAAATGCACATTATGTACCAAGGACATTGTCAGCTAAATCATTTACACAGCGTCAGAATCAACTAAACACCATCAATGGTCACTAAATAGTAAATAGCGGCCTTCGTTTGTGGAATGTTTCAGAGTCTTAAAACAAGATCCATGTATGATCCACACAACACTCCATGTATGATCCACACAACAATCCATGTATGATCCACATAACAATCCATGTATGATCCACACAACAATCCATGTATGATCCACACAACAATCCATGTATGATCCACACAACAATCCATGTATGATCCACACAACAATCCATGTATGATCCACACAACAATCCATGTATGATCCACACAACAATCCATGTATGATCCACACAACAATCCATTGTGTGATCCACACAAGAATCCACACAATGGTTGTTACAGATATAACAGTAACCATCTTAACGTTTTCCAAATTCGTGGTCGATGTTACCATGTAGCGTCTCAACCTTGACCCGCCTGCACAAACGACCACAGTGTTAGGACGATGATAAGCATAACGCAACCCCATGATAATCAGATGATTGTACTCTTATTCCACACCGGTATCACTTCGGAGTACCAAATCGGATTATAAGGGTCGTAACTGCAGTGCTTAGCTCATTTTGTGCGACCGGGCCCAGGGTATCTGACATGATGTTTGACACCATGCTCTGTCCTCTGTAGCACTTAAGACATCACTTTTCATGACGCGATGTGGAACACTCACGTTAAAGGACGTTGGGGATGCTGGAGGCACCAGTGTCGACGCTGTTGCATCACTTGAGGACGTGGTTGTGGCGTTCACTGTGCCAGCCTTTAAAATCAATACTGTGAATTGAATGTTGTTACATGGACAGCTGATATCTTCAACAAACACAAGCGAAGTAGGAAAATATATTCCATTGGATCTTGTGGATTCAATCCTTGTGGAATTCACGGGTGCAAATTCAAATATCGATGAAAACATTGCAGCTGTCTCTGTGCACGCCACTATCAATCACATTCATTCAAATCAGTCGAGTCCAATAGGCATTGAGGTATCTTTTGTTCAAGCACTACATCGGAGAGTTTCTATATATTGCCTTGATTGGCACGCATGTCGTTCCTCCCTTGCCAAGCAGCAAGAGAAAACATTCTCTGGTCGCCGGAGTTATCTCCCCTGTTTGCATGACTATAAGGTCGTGACCTTACCACCCTTGTTGCTGTTGCTGCAATGTCGGCAGGTTGTTGGTGTTGTCGTCTGCTGAGACTCGTCGTGTTGTGTCTGAATTTCCCGCAACACCTCAAGCAGCTCGCGTCGCTCCGTGTGCATCTTCTCCAGGTCGTGTCTTCTCTTCAGCTCCAGCTCCAGGAGAATTTTAACCTTCTGGTTGATCTTGCTGATGTCTTCCTTCAGCTCGTCAATGTTGGCCTGCAGTGCTGCCTCCCTCGCCACCATGTGACATCTCTGCATGTCTAGCCGCAACTCCATCTCCTTCTTCTGGTCGTCAAGGCGACAGATCATCTCCGACCGCAACAGTTGGATATTTGACCGGAGTTCGGCAATACAGTTATGTTCACGCTCATCCAACGAACTCACAGTAAGACCGCAGCCCTTTGTGCACTCTCGGCTGCCGAACTCGCACTTCAGCACGTGCTGCTCGAGCTCTGCAGGGATGACGGTGCACGTGCACCCCTTGTGTGGGCATGGCACCGGCTTTTGAGGACATACCTCCTCGTGTTTGCTTACAGTCTCCAGATTGCTGACGTGCTCACACCCTTTACGGAAATTCTTACACCGGATGCGCAACCTGACAAGGTCGTTTTTCATGTACCGGAACAAGGGGCGTAAGTTTGACGGACGTAATGGATGGCGGTCTTCTGGACAGGAAGCCTCGTTCTCGAGCCAGCCGAGAATGCACTTGCGACAAAACGCGTGCTCACAAGGTGCTTGCTGGGGGTCTTCTAGGACGTCACGACACACACAGCAAAGCAGGCCTTCGTTCACTTTACCTACGAAGCGGTCCACGTCATAGCCCATTGTCCGCAGCTCCACACACCGCGGTTGAGGCGGCGACTCCTACTGCGAGGTCTGGAAAAAAGAGGTTTCGTAATCAAACATATTGGTCATCAAATTCATTAGTCTAAAAGCAAGATGAATCATCATATGATTATAAACAGAAACACGCGAATACGAACGTACTAACTTGAGACGTAACAAGGTTGTATTATGTTCAAATGATGCTGTTAAATAAGCGATTCGTCAATAACAGTTGTATAATTAACAAGAGGCTGCTCACATACAAATGGACAACAAAAACATACCATTCCTTGCAACAGTTTGTACATTAACCATCAACGTCAGAAAAATGCATGCGACTTGTTGTCGGTCGGTGATCTATCCGAAGAGGCTTACCGTCACTCCAGTAGGCCATACCTTAGGCTGATCTACAACCCCTCCTTGTTCTCGCTAAAGCGGCTTATATCTCATGCACTCACTTGAAGCTGTGTGCTGAATCCAGACGTATGGAAGTGTTATCTAACCTGGCCGAGGTATTCTTGTCATATCAATCGATACTTAGTACACGAGGGCTCCACGTTACAACGATGGCAGATTACGGGCTATTTGTTACCTAATTACACACAGTGGGTCACTCGACCAGTAGTGCTGTGTGGAGTTTGTCCAACTGTTCGGGTCATACCACTAGTGAGTTAGCGAGTGAGTAATGTTTAACGTCGTTTTCTACGTTTATGCTAATAAACACCAACGACAAGCATATAAGTTTTTGTAACATGTGATTACGATATAAAAGCCTGGACAGGCTGTAGATGCTGCAGGAGCCAGTTATACGCGGTCAGTGTTGCTTGCAAGAACGTCAGTACAGCTAATACCCGTGATACATGCAACCATTGTACAACAGGTGCTCTGATATATAGGCAGTTTAAATACGAGATGTCAATATCTTTGTCATCTGATCTCTTGTCAGTTCTAGTCAGAATACGACATGCACTTGTCATGTAGTCAGTTGCAGTTAGCACATGACAGAGGCCTGATATATAGGCAGTTTAAATCAGAACGAGACTGATACTACCATATCTTGTTGTCAGTTGCCGCTAGGTCCTAAAGCATCGCAGTGTACAACACAGCACCTGGCTAATCTCACCACACTGGACAGTCTACGATCACCATCACAGTGTACAACACAGCACCTGGCTAATGTCACCACACTGGACAGTCTACGATCACCATCACAGTGTACAACACAGCACCTGGCTAATCTCACCACACTGTACAACACAGACAGTCTACGATCACCATCACAGTGTACAACAGTCGACGATCCCCATCACGTGTGTATAACACACAGCACCTGGCTAATGTCACCACACTGGACAGTCTACGATCACCATCACAGTGTACAACACAGCACCTGGCTAATCTCACCACACTGGACAGTCTACGATCACCATCACAGTGTACAACACAGCACCTGGCTAATCTCACCACACTGGACAGTCTACGATCACCATCACAGTGTACAACACAGCACCTGGCTAATCTCACCACACTGGACAGTCTACGATCACCATCACGGTGTACAATCACCATCACAGTGTACGAACACAGCACCTGGCTAATCTCACCACACTGGATCTCACCACACTGGACAGTCTACGATCACCATCACAGTGTACAACACAGCACCTGGCTAATCTCACCACACTGGACAGTCTCACAGTATACAACACAGCACGATCACCACCATCTACGAGTGTACAACACAGCACCTGGCTAATCTCACCACACTGGACAGTCTACGATCACCATCACAGTGTACAACACAGCACCTGGCTAATCTCACCACACTGGACAGTCGACGATCACCATCACAGTGTACAACACAGCACCTGGCTAATCTCACCACACTGGACAGTCTACGATCACCATCACAGTGTACAACACAGCACACGATCACCATCACAGTGTACAACGACGATCACCATCACAGTGTACAAACGCACCTGGCTAACTCACCACACTGGACAGTCTGGACGATCACCATCACAGTGTACACAGCACCTGGTAATCTACTGGAACGATCACCATCACAGTGTACAACACACCCTAATGTCACTGGACAGTCACTGGACATGTGGACAGTCTACGATCACACACTAATCTCACCACGCTGGACAGTCTACGATCACCATCACAGTGTACAAGCACCTGGTTAACACCTGGCTAATGTCACCACACTGGACTCTCACAGTGTGTACAACACAGCGATGGCTAATCTCACCACCACAGTCGACGATCACCATCACAGTGTACAACACAGCACCTGGCTAATCTCACCACACTGGACAGTCTACGATCACCATCACAGTGTACAACACAGCACCTGGCTAATCTCACCACACTGGACAGTCACGTCACCACCACAGTGTACACACAGCACCTGGTTAATCTCACCACACTGGACGATCTACCACCACCACAGTGTACAACACAGCACCTGGCTATCTCACCACTGGACAGTCTACGATCACTGGCTAATGTCACCACACAGTCAGTCACCTGGTAATGTCACCACACTGGACAGTCTACGATCACCATCACAGTGTACAACACAGCACCTGGCTAATCTCACCACACTGGACAGTCTACGATCACCATCACAGTGTACAACACAGCACCGATCACCACCACAGTCTGTCACCATCACAGTGTACAACAGCACCTGGTTAATGTCACCACACCGGACAGTCTACAGTGTACAACACACACCTGGTTAATGTCACCACACTGGACAGTCTACGATCACCACCGATGGCTACCCATCACACTGGGCTGTCAGACTGTTGACGTATAGGTTTATGTAACATTCACGTTCTATGGCTGCCGGTCTGAGCAGCGAGCACCTGTACACTGACTAGACATAACAGGACCGTATGTCACGGTCGTAATTATATACTCTAAACGGCAATATGATGGCAATACATTGCAGTCTGTGGTAACAGACCCAACATACTGGTGTCTAGTCTACGTGTGTATTTGTACATAATAATACTAGCATACAACTGTCTAGTATTCATGTACATATAAACGTTAGTAACTTAGCACACAGAATCAGTCTATGGGAACCGACCCAACATACACGTGTCTAGTATACATGTTTTTAATACATATATATATTAGCACACAGAATCAGTCAATGGGAACCGACCCAACATACACGTGTCCAATATTCATGTACATATAAACGTTAGTAACTTAGCACACAAGATCATTTGTTGAAGACAGTACTAGTTACTAAGTTAAACCACCGCCACCTACCTGCATCACACAGATCCCTATCTCAGCTGTATCAACGAACAAACGCTACCTGCATGACGTATCGCCTGGGGTGAGGTTGCGGCAGTGTGAACCCGGGGCAGGAGCAGGAATTAGCTTATTTGTCTACATGTGTCGTGCACATTAAACCTGGCCTTACGTATGGCCTCGCCTTAATGTACATAAGTCCAGCCCCCGCTCTGACTTGCTTTGATCGCAGATGAAAGCCGGGAGGACACAGTCCTTAATTAACTCCATATAAGTCCACGCTTATTCACAGACGAGACGGTGTCTTTCATTTTGATTTCCGTCAGCAGAAATACTCATTTTGTTTGAACAATAGTGGGTCCTGTTTCAAGTAAACAATTATTATTGTCCTACGGTCGATGAAGCTTGTCATAAAGTTGTCTCTATAATTGCCAGTATGTTATTGACATGTTCGATCTACTTTCAATCAAAACGCGTTTTCATTAAAACGTGTTTGTTTGTCTGTTACAGTGAGTCAGATTTAAACAGTATTTCAGTTACATCGACTCGATCAGTCAGTTGGAAAAACTGTCGGCCTGACGCAGATCTGAGTGAGTGAGTGAGTGAGTGAGTGAGTGAGTGAGTGAGTGAGTGAGTGAGTGAGTGAGTGAGTGAGTGAGTGAGTGAAGTGAGTGAGTGAGTGGTGTTTAACGCCGCTTTGTACAGTATTCCTGCTGTTTCACGATCTGATAGCTTACTGGTGGAGAAAAGCCCGAGGTGTTGCTGGTCTTAAACCTTTGAAACCTTGGTGAAACCCATGAGCACGGGTATGGAGCTGACAAGTAAAAAACATAATCGAACCAGGATTCGAACCCACAATCAGAGGTTACTGGCGTGCCAAGGGAATTGCGGCGCTTTAAACGGCATGGCACCTGATTATCCAGTTACATGTGGACGTGATACACTGGATAATCGAGGATGGACAGATGTGGGATGTTGTCTCGTGAGTGTGAGTTTTACGTCGCGTTTCGCAATATTCCAGCAATAGCACGGCGAGGAACACCAGAAATGGGCTACACACATTGTACCCATCTGGGCAATAGGACCCGGGTGTTTGGCGTGACGAGCCCCAACCACAAGGCTATTCCACCGCCCCGGATGTTGTCTAGGCTTGCAGGGAAGCCACGGGAGGTAACTCAAGGACAATCAATCATCCTTTTTTTCAATCAATCTGGACAAGCGATGTGCTCAATACAGATTTATATATTTCAAGAATATATGTCACTGATGATTATGAACTAATGTAATCAAGTAGACACGTCCATGGTCAAAATATGTTCGCCCCTTCCAACTAAACAGTTGTACAACTGGTGTTTCACCCCGCTGAATCTAAATACGCTCTTAACAAGCAAAACGTAAAAGAACAGCATCATGAAAATGTGTTAATTTAAACAATAAACGAAGCATGGTGCAAGACATTATTGTACTTACTGTGCAAGGGAGAGAGAAAGGGCGCATAGAGCCCAGGAACAATATACTGATATGGTATAAACGAAACCCCTGTCAACAAGACATTTACTCCCTACCAATGACAAAACAACGATGTTATCAGCACATCAGCATGCCAGGTAAATGTAGATGTGTCTACCTGTCAACTAACGTCACGGGTCATCACGACCATACCGACAGATCTCACAATACCGCACCTGGGCAAGCAGGTATCGAAATACAGGAACGTAAATACAATTACAGGGAGTCGCGATTGGTAGAAAACATAATTTCCCCTGTTGTGATATTTAAATCCCAGGTATAATCCACGCTCTTCCCAACACACAATCCTCAAATACCAAACCACACAACAATAGCAAATCGTGGTGGCAATGTTTAGCCTGCGTATACCGTCTTTAACTGAATCATTTCTCTGAAACTCCATACCGTAATCAACATGTTTTCGTGATTACTACCTGACCAAGCAACACATCAGACATAAACGTGAATTGGTATATACGATATAATTCGTCTGCAGGGACCACTATGCTAATATAGTGATATGAACTTACTGTCGAGGCACACACCTACCCCTGTCTCCACGTGGGTGATTGACATTCAATATAATGGTATGTATACCAAACAGAACATATCAAATTTTAAAACTTCAAATACGTTCGATACAATATCAACATCTTAATTACATCTTGCCCCGAACCCTTCCTTACCCTGATTGTTCAAACCGTTGGTCACGCGTCCACATTTCAACACAAGAAACATAGATTCGTAAAACGATTTGTACAAAGCTGATTTTTGTTTGTTATATTTGTAAAAATAAAACCCACACCAAGCTAAAACTATTTATCTTGTCATGAAATCGTCCCTACCTTATCGGCAACTGGCTCAAGCTATCGTGCACGAATCCCACAACTTAACGTCAGGCCACAGTAATCCGCCTCGACAGTCAGCACTGATCAGTCAGGGTGTTAACGACACAGTGATGCACTGACAAGATCATGATGTCTATTTCAATGACAAAAGCGCTTAGTTACAAGTAGTCATCACGCGTTAACAGAACAGATTGACAATGGATAAGTGTCAGTACTTCAGTAACGACTCATTGCTTCGTCCCCACACACAGATGTTCCATTGTTTCAACGTAACACCTGTTACCTACCTGTAATTAACAGGCTAGGTACACCTGTCAATTACTGCTTTGTTTTGATAAGGTTGTTAATTTCACAATGCCTCTTTGCAGAGCAGCAATTAGGGTAGGAGTGTTTTCCCGTTGCAGATTGTTTACTTTGCATTTAAGGCCTATTTCAGTTAGTGTTGGCGGTCAAACACGCGCTGCACAATGATTTTTATCCAAATTACTACGTATACAGTCTTCCATAAGTCCAGTCTAATTCAGAACATCGAATGAGACCCACGTCGACTATTTGTTAGAGCTCAGTGCTATGTGTTTGCGCTAACTGCAGAATGCTATGCACACCACACACGATGGTGGCGACAGGCCCAACCTCTATAGTCAAGGGTACTACAGTCTCCGTGTAATCAAGATAAATACCCTGGGCCTATTTACCACAATAGCTTCATGCACAACCCACACGATGGTGGCGACAGGTCCAACCTCTATAGTCAAGGGTACTACAGTCTCCGTGTAATCATGATAAATACCCTGGGCCTATTTACCACAATAGCTTCATGCACAACCCACACGATGGTGGCAACAAGTCCAACCTCTATAGTCAAGGGTACTACAGTCTCCGTGTAATCATGATAAATACCCTGGGCCTATTTACCACAATAGCTTCGTGGGTTCAAGGTATTTATCACAACGTATCAGATGAGATATACAATGCATAATAGCGGCGAGTCTGCTTGAAGGTGAAACCGTTCACTGGTCCGGATCACAGGACCGAGTTCTATTCCACTCATGGGTATATTGTATGAAGTTCGCACCGCGATGTTACATTTACAGGAACAACGTTACATCACGTGGCGTCAACTCTGTACATTATATACACTTATGTTCGGTGTTATAACAAATCCTATGAGTGAGTTTGTAAGTAAGTGAGCGAGTTTACACCGCCTTTAGCAATACGCCAGTAATATCACGGCTGCAGACACCAGAAATGGGAATTACATATCATAAACATGTAGGAAATGGAACTGGGACATATACCGAGAGCGTTAACCACTAGGACACGTTACCGCGGCTGTGAACATGTATACTGCAAGTTTGTACATAACACGACTGTCTTTTGAACGAATACAAACACTTCAACAGACACAATAAGCCGGGAACAGCCCAGTGTACATTTACGTCAATCAAACATTGACACAAGCGGTTAGTAGGCGCTTCTCGTTTCCTAAACTGGAAGAACCCAATAAAAGGCACTGAGACGTCCAAATATTGGAGTACACGAACGAAGCCTGCAGCTGTACGTTTGTCTCGTCAGTACAAAGGATCAACTCTTACCTGTCGCGTTCGTCGAATACACCCGAGTCAGTGGTCACCCAGTGTCCACAGAGCAGGCATGCGTGCCCCCATATATCTCAGAAACCCAGATACATCTGTCCAGCAACATGAAAGCCCTTTGACCGTTCGGACAAGTCCATTCGTTTGATCCAACAGTTTAAACAGAAGGCCCGGGGTTAAAGACCCTAGGATAATCAGCGTGACACATCAATCAACTCGTATCGGGCGTTGTAAGACCAGTACGGTGTTGGGAGTTTGATAACGTCGCTGTTTTATTGTCCACCCTCGTTAGCTTCACGCTTCATAAGCGGTACACAATATGTTGATCACCTCTCCAGGTGGGTCGAACGGACTGCGATCGAGAATAGCCATTGTAGGGGAACTTGCAAAGGAGGTATAATGCAGTAGACGTGCATACAGATTAATGTGTTATGAGAGCTGGGTAGGGATGGGCGGTCGAACACCGTAGTATGAAACACAGCAGACTGAGTAGAACGTGGTAGAAATACCTTTCACTTTGGTTGCTCATAGTTCATCAGATAACTAAAGTTGAGTAAAGTAAGCTGCATGTTCTAATTAGATTAAGTCATGGTAGATTAAATACAGCAATATGAAATTCTTTTAGGTAGTATGTGTCGTAATGAATCCCTTCTCAAAGACACGCTTACACCACACACGCACACAATGAGGTGGAACGACGTGATATTCTTGACATATTGGTTAAAATGTCATGAATCTGCCGCGGGCTGCTCACTGAAGGAGGAAGACCCGACACACGCGACGCTCCTGTTTTGTTAGTTGTTTAAGGCTGTATATTCCTATACTCCAGCTATATGGCGGCGGTCTGTAAATAATCGAGTTTGGACCAGACAATCCAGTGATCAACAGCATGAGCATCGATCGCAATTGGGATACGATAACATGTGTCAACCAAGTCAGCGAGCCTGACCACCCGAACCCTCTAGTCGCCTCTTGAGACAAGCATGAGTTGCTGAAGATCAATATTCTAACCCGGATCTTCACGGGTGCGATGTTCCTGAAATGACTTTTGTTTTAAACATATTTTATTCATTTATTCAAAAGGATTGGGCACAAGTTATCCAACTTAGAAAAGCCCTCTCCAGATAATTACACAATTCATATAACAACAAAGTACACAAGTGACATATACATAGGCTAGGATATGTATAACAGCTGTTAACTGAGAAAGCGTTTTGTTTGGGAGATATAGATATGTACATATTTGAAAATATTCTGGTTTTCAATTATTGAGAGACCTGCATTGCCATGTAAGATAAGATTAATATCAATCAGTGTTCTATTTTTGACAATATGTTCTAAAGATTTTAACAGTATATGTCTTTGAATAGTATACAATGGACATTCAAGGAAGTAATGAAAAACATTCTGAAATGACTACATGGTTGTTGAGTGTGGCTTCACTATCCACACAGCATCTATGCAAAGGTCTACTCCCATTTGTGAGAACTCCCATTTGTGAGACTCCCATTATGAGACAGTGGAGTAGGTAATTAACAACGAAAACACACCATACTCCCCTGTCTGATAGAATGGATTCACCCTAGCTAATTACTGATTTGCTATGTAACTGAATCTTGTGGAGGTAACTTAATGAAACTTTATAAGATAAATTGATTAACATACTCAGGTAAATGTCTTTAATAATTAAACACTTTGTGTAGATAACTTCATGATCAAAGAGGAATTAATTTACCTACTCAGATTTACTCCGTCTCCGAAACTACCAGCTATAGTTTAAGAAATAATAATTTACAGTCGAAATGCCCCTTATGCCAAACCCTTTCTACCCGACACAATAAATTTATGGAATGCCCTACCAAATTCCAAAGAGTCATGCAGTCTCAAAATATTCAATGAACTATTTCTTCTTTGTAAATATAATCTTTGATAATCTATTTCATTAATCAACTCATCAATGAACTATGCCTCCTGTGGGTACTGGGCTGGGCTGATCCCACTTTCATTGTAGGGATGTGGAAACACCACCTATGTGCACTGAACCATTAATTAATGTGTCTCACAACTGGGAGTTCTCACAAATGGGAGGACACCTATGCAAACGGCATGGTTAATGACTAGTGGCATGCAGCATGGAGACAGCAGGTGTTATCGCCCCTAATGACACGGTGCAGAAGATGGCGCATGAAGCAAACAGCTGACTCGAGGCAACGCGAGATGCTGAACACACCACGTGGTCATTCACGAGACGGCGAGACTTCAGCCTCTGCATCGACATGGAGGATGTATATAACGTGATGATAGCACACGAGGGAAATCTCAAGGATGGAGTCAGTGAATAAAATCAGAAAAAATGTTTCACACAAAAGGAGATATACACATTCATTCCCCTTACACCCATCGCGACACGGATTCCACGTCAATCACTTCAACTTGCTACACTCTTCAGCTAAGGTGGAAATGATGTCTCGGAACTGTTCCCCAAAGCCAATTTTCTAGAGGAGGATTTTATGTGAAATCGTTTTACGGTTTGGGATATCAGTAAAATAATCAATTATAGGAATGTGTGATATATCAGTCAACACAATCATTATACGAGAAATGTAACACCCTGGCAATTAAACGATTACGCTCATCGTTGGTGGTGTTGACTGAACAGATCACATGACCGGAAGTAACACGCGATCACTAAATGCATTTCTACGTTCTACGGTTCTTCGACCGACATTATTACAGGAAGCACGAAATGAAACAATTAATCTGTTACTGCGGCTACTGGTTCTATACAAGATCCAGATTGGGATACCTGGGTCAGGTGACGGATAACACCCTTCACAGATGTCTTCTTCGTCCAAAACCCTCCCACACCACCCTCCGCCTTGAAAACTATACATGATAATATAAAATTTACACAATTCCATTCATGTTTGTCACAAGAAAAATGCTGACATAGCTGTCTTCTGATATACATTATCAGAAGAAATCACCATGGAGACGGCTTGATGCCATCAATCTGCGCGCTCGTAAATGGTTAATGTGTTCTATAATGTGTCCAAACATCTAGTTTGAGTATATTTCACCTGAGCTGCTGTCGTTTGCTGTCTGGGAATGTATTTAAGTCGAAAGGTGAATGGCTTGACCTTGTTGATAGGTCTGGCAAGTCTGTGCTGGTCAAACCTGGGCGTGAACATTCGCCGAGTATCAAGCAGGAAGACCACGATATAGCGATTGGAGATGGAGCTTATCGTGCATACGCGCATCTACTAATTACAGGCAATTAAAGAAGGTGGTAATCACGCCACACAGATGATGGAGTGAGTGAGTAAGTTTCTTGACATTAATTCTTGGATCAATATTACAGTTACACCATGGTGTGTACTGTAGTTTGGTGTTGTGAGTGAGTGACTATGGTTTTATGCCGCTTTTAGCAATATTCCAGCAATATCACGGCGGGGAACACCAGAAATGGTCTTCACACATTGTACCCATGTGGGGAATCGGTGTGACGAGCGAATGCTTTAACCACTAGGCACCGCCCTTGTTTGGTGTAGGTGGAAAGTCTTAGTGATGCAGGTCTCAGACGTACGCCATTTGGTCATCCTAAGGGGACGCAACTTTGCACTTTGAACAATAACTTTTCTGACAGGAGGACCAATAAACAGTCGGGCAAAAGTATGAACTTGACGGCCAAACAATTAAAACAGATTTCAGTAAGTTACTAGCATGAAAACGCCGACATTAATTCCAAAACGGAACTATGATTCCCTTATCACATAGCTCACATTGAATAACAACTTCCTGTTTGTTTATTGATTAGCCACTATCAACATGGGTGTATTTATTGTTTTGTCCGGCAGTTTTTAACGTCAAAGATAGTGTCATGGGTAATTACACCAAGCTAGTCAAGTACCACATTCACAACAGTAACACAATCATAGATAGTTATATGGATAGTAAGACCATACCTAACTGCACCTGGCATCGGATAGTTATATGGATAGTAAGACCATACCAAAACTGCACCTGGCATCGGACGACTTGCATTTGAAAATTACCAAAGTGCATGGGTAGTTATGCTCATAGCAAGACCACCTTTGCATCTCAAACGTTCATTACATCTATACCACCGTGCATGGATAGTTATGTGGATAGTAAGACGACGCCCTTGCATTTGAAACGTTCATTACATCTATACCACCGTGCATGGATAGTTATGTGGATAGTAAGACGACGCCCTTGTATCTTAAACGTTCATTACATCTATACCACCGTGCATGGATAGTTATGTGGATAGTAAGACGACGCCCTTGTATCTTAAAGGATAGTTATGTGGATAGTAAGACTACGCCCGTGTATCTTAAAGGTATCCTCCCAAAACTTTCACATCCCAAAACTTCCACAGCTTATAACAACAACATTTGTGGTTGACTGCACACACTTCACAATACTGATTACCCCAGTCTGTAATGGTTTAACCCATTAATCAGTAATGAATACAAACTGTCACTTAGTAATAAATTATATATTTTATTAAGTCAGGGTCTTTTGCCTATTACATATTCTTTAAAAACATACTGAAATATCTGACTGACAAATTTCATTAAACCATCTTTTAAAGTAAACATATAAACTGGCTACTACTAAAAATGTCACTGCCGTTATTGTGTCACTACCATAACAATTAATGCCCATGTCCATACCATAACATTATCAATTTCCTTATTTTATTATAATTGATTTATGTGTTTATGCCTGGATTTGGTAGTGCAAGTATGTTTGGCAGTAGAGCCTCAAGTAAGCATAATACAATTCATATTCTCATTTGGAATTTTTCGGTACATGTTACTTTATATTTGCAAATCAGAATTGAAAGGAATTGTTTGGCTTGTTGGACCCTTTTACGCAATAAATATAAAATTTCAACACTCATTATATTGTAAAACTACATATTTTGACATACATCTACATCAAATGTACATTAAGCTTGCATAATTTATGTTTTGCAAATTCAGAATTCTATAAACGTAATCAACAACATTTCAAGGTAAAACAAGAAAACAAAATTTACAATTTTTGCCTGCATGAAATATGCACGAATTTATATTATATATATTTCACATTTATTAACTAACTGCTCTCTTCTCTACTAAAATCTCTATTCTACTAAGCCAGGTGATGTATCATTATCTGTTGTTTGAGTTCCGTGCATTTCCTGGGCTATCCTATTACCTAAAAAGGGGTGGTGAGGAGTTGTTGTTTTCACAATGTGTGGTGGTATTGGGATGTGGACGTTTTGGGATGTGGAAGTTTTGGGATAAAACCATCTTGAACTTTCATTACATCTATATCACCGTGCATGGATAGTTATGTGGATAGTGAGACTATACCCCAGCACCCCTTGCCCTTGGCACGCTCACTAACTATAGGGGTTTGAGCAATCAGTTGGATATGGTATCACTACCCACATATCTCCCATCTGTGCAAAGTTCGTTGTAGCAGTATCATCATGGATTGTTATGTGGATAGTGACGTCACACTCAGCTATCACGTGCAGGTGAAAAGTTCAGAACAGTTATACCGCCATGGATAGTTATGGGGATAGCGCGAGCGCATCCAACTATCACGTGCCAGTGAAACGTTCACTGTGGTTATACCGCCATGGATAGTTATGGGGATAGTGCGAGCGCATCCAACTATCACGTGCCAGTGAAACGTTCACTGTAGTTATACCGCCATGGATAGTTATGGGGATAGTGCGAGCGCATCCAACTATCACGTGCCAGTGAAACGTTCACTGTAGTTATACCGCCATGGATAGTTATGGGGATAGTGCGAGCGCATCCAACTATCACGTGCCAGTGAAACGTTCACTGTAGTTATACCGCCATGGATAGTTATGGGGATAGTGCGAGCGCATCCAACTATCACGTGCCAGTGAAACGTTCACTGTAGTTATACCGCCATGGATAGTTATGGGGATAGTGCGAGCGCATCCAACTATCACGTGCCAGTGAAACGTTCACTGTAGTTATACCGCCATGGATAGTTATGGGGATAGTGCGAGCGCATCCAACTATCACGTGCCAGTGAAACGTTCACTGTAGTTATACCGCCATGGATAGTTATGGGGATAGTGCGAGCGCATCCAACTATCACGTGCCAGTGAAACGTTCACTGTAGTTATACCGCCATGGATAGTTATGGGGATAGTGCGAGCGCATCCAACTATCACGTGCCAGTGAAACGTTCACTGTAGTTATACCAACATGGGTAGTTAGGTGGATAGTGAGACTTTCCTCACTGTAAGTGACACTGAAAATAATGAAAATTCCTCTACAACATTAACCCCTGAATAATTCATTTGTAATTTCCTGGGACATAGAAAGAAAATGAGAAGAAAGCGACCCGCCGCGTGGCTATTGATTAGCCGGAAACCAGCGGACACAGTGCTTATTTATTTAGAATTATTGCCGCTCTTTATCCGCTTGTGACGAACAGACTGGTAATTCCACATTTTTACAAAACTGTCTAGTTATGCCCGACTAGCGTGTTGTTATCACCTGCGGCATGCATCTATTGAGTTAATGATATGTATAACTACATTCACCAGTCGGACTATTTCATGGTGATAATCGTCAGTGAGTGAATTTAGTTTTACGCCACTTTTAGCAATATTCCAACAATATCACGGCGGAGGACACCATAAATGGGCTTCACACATTGTACCCATGTGGGGAATCGAACCCGGGCCTGCGGCGTGACGAGCGAACTCTTTAGCCACTACGCTATCCCACCGCCCCTGGTGATAATGGGCGGATTTAAGGCGACAGTTTAAACCTGGGTACCCTCTCCTCAAACAAAGCAAAGATCCCATGGTCAAAACGTGCCCCGGAGTGGATCAGGTTGTCAGACTGTCCGACTGGAAGATTAAGTCATTTGATGGTCTGGTCCAACCTCGGTACAGGCCCTTGTTAAACAGCTGGGCCCGGCTTCACAAAGCGACCACAGAGCTACGACTATCGTAACTCCAGACTTTAACATAGACCTACAGGGTCGTTGCATTTAGATCGCTTTGTGGAACGAGGTCCCGACGTACAAGTCAAAAGTGTGACTATGTTAAAGCATGAGAGCCACGATCTCAATTCTGTTATTCGTGCATAAACATAAGGCAGCTGTTGAGGTACTGGCCTGTTGATGACAGCGGAGTTATACAATACCCCTTCATATTCACTGACCTCCCCTAGCAATGAGGAATTATTTCACTACGAAATACTACATGCATCTTGACACTGAAATGGTAAATGCTGTTAGTGTCTCTAAGCTACAGTCACAGTAAGCGTAAAAGCATCAACCGCCAATGCTGTAACCCATAGTAGACCTTTGTGTAATGCCTTGCCCTGACTGACCGGACTCGGGACTACTGTAAAGCCCCATGGGGATGCATCAAAGAAAGCGAAAGGGGGTCTGGACGTTTTTATTGAACGGAGCCTATGAGTGATGTTGCATTGAAGATTGTGTGCCCGGTCAGCGGTTGTCTCCCCCTGGTTGTATTTGATTACATGCCCGCCAGGGACGCTGTTCAACGGAAGAGGAAGTTCTTTGAGACTCCAAGACAACGAAGAACCTTTGAAGTGGAGAACACTATGCTGGGGGCCCGGTGCATATTGGCAGCTATGGATGGAAAAAACCTTCCCAAACCGTTGCTCTAGTAACCACACATTCAGATTAATGTTACTACTTAATACGAATAAAAGTAGACACTTCCTCGACCCTGCTCTGTTGAAGGTCCGGAACAAGGCAGTCGGGTCGACTCTTTTGGGCTGAATTAATGATGTCTAAATGCTGGCTGAGTAACCATGTTTTACGCCGCTTTGGACAATATTGCGTGGAGTGACAGATGTACAGAAGACAGACCAGAGTCACAGGCCAATTCCAGTGACATAACGAACCATACTTTTGTCGAGGAATATAACTGCAAATCATATGTTTCTAAAGAATATGTCATACTCCATAGCAACAGGTATTGTCCCGCAATGACAAATTTTAAAAGACATAACAAAGTTACTTCCCTAAGACCCGGCAGGATCGGTGGTTCAAATCGCTGTTGCAACACGATTATAATCTTTTTCGGTGTCACCTCCCTACAAACAACCCGACAGTAACTTGTGTATCATCTCTCCTTGGCCGTCTGAAGCAGGTCAAGCTAAGTCTACACATACGTTACTGATATGAAAACATCACCACATCTACAAAATCACGTTTCAATGCATACCAATAAATCAACGTCTCCCACTCGAGTCGATGACCGCTGTGAGAGGCTCCCCAAGGCCACCGACTACACCACCGTCTACAAGCTCCTCTACACAGCTGCGCCAATGCTCTGTGAGATCTGTTTATCTGAACCATCCGGCTGGTCCAACAAGCTACCACAGACATTACACAGCATCAACATGTGTCCCCGAAGAGCTACATCGTATATGCAAGTAGCTCATGTAGGTCCCGACTCAAACAGCCAATAAAATACATGTCCCGGGCGGGCAAGAACGAGGCATTTACAGCATCAAGGGGGGATATATATGATTAGCTTTGTCTTATGTACGGGAGAATGGTTTTCTGATGTAATACTGACTGACTGAGTTTAGTTTTACGCCGCTTTTAGCAATATTCCAGCAATATCACGGCGGGGGACACCAGAAATGGGCTTCACTCATTGTACCCATGTGGGGATTCGAACCCGGGTCTTCGGCGTGACGAGCCAACGCTATTGCATTTAACTAAACGAACACAACACGAGACGTGCGAGCACGCCATTACGAGCACCTGTTCAATGTGACACTTCAGAATTCAGGCATACACTATTACATCAGAGGGGCGGTGGGGTAGCCAAGTGGTTAAAGCGTTGGCTCGTCACGCCGAAGACCCGGGTTCGATTCCCCACGTGGGGAAAATGTGTTAAGCCCATTTCTGATGTCCCCCCGCCGTGATATTGCTGGAATATTGCTAAAAGCGGCGTAAAACCAAACTCAGTCAGTCAGTCAGTTAAATGCAATATGGATTTACACGGTCAGTCAATCAGATATCAATGTCACCACTACATATCGTTATCATCAGCAGCACAGACTTATCTATGCCATACTGGTATACTGGGACGTTAATCAATAACAAACAAAATTAGCTGAACCATCTCATAATAACACTTAGCGTATGCGATTATGATAATTATTATCATTATTAGAGTGTAATGTACGGAATGTATCCCGCCTGTGGGGATACCACTAATTGCAGCCTTGATATCACGTATACAGCTGGTGTATATTGGTGGTCTGACCTATTTGTGCAACTATGTATTAATGACATAGTTCCATGATTGACTGCCTGTTAATATAAGTAGTAGGTATTTTCTCCACACGAGGGCAACATGTGGATAACATGTTCATATACAGTTTGTTATTGCCATATTGAAACGACAAATCGCAGAAATTCTGCCGTGTTTCGTTAAAATATAACATACATCTCTTTTCATTGTCACGTGCCCAGAAAATATATTAATCTACATTTTGTGAACAGTAAGCAAAATAGGTTTTTGTAGCAGGTGAGCTCTCTTTAACGCAATTTCAGGACAACCAATACAGCTGACTGACCTGTGGTAACCAGGTGCGACAGCTCACTGCACCCCACTTCACCATGCCGCTGGCACCAGGTGAGCTAAGGAGAATATATCTAACTGAGGGAAAACCAGCTGAATTTAATCATAAATGTAACCAAATGCTGTCAGTTACAACCAGTTGAATCACCACACCGTCCATACCTAATTAATTCACTTCTGTGGTAACCAGGTGGGCGAAATCAGACACTGCTGAAGCCAATTCAGCGACTAAGGTAACACGAGTATTACACATCGCAGACACGTAATACACCGACTAAACACGAGTCAGGTGAGCTAAAGCTTAACTTCCGGAAGCTGGGACACAGTAGCAGGTCAGGGAGACCTGTCAGAACATGACGTGGGTGTTACCGTCACAAGTATGTCAACACGACCTCACGGAGAGACACCACAGCAACATCTACTACACGTGTGTAGCTACACAACTACACCATCAGCCACCGAGACATCGCCGACAATTATGGCTGAAACATTAATTATTGGTTGTTTATGGCTTACGTTAATACCCCTTCCAAATGCAGGATTTTAAGTTATAACACACGATGCAACACAGAGTATTACATTTACAAAACCTGGCAATGCTTGACCACTGTATAGCTATTGGGTACAAGCCATCTAAACATAGGACAAGCTTATAGTTAATATTGTTACACACCTGGTTGTAGGTGATAATGTAATAGATTGTCAGTAACTGTGAACAAAGAGTGTCATTTGGTAAAATGAAGCATGTCTTATATTTGGGATTACGCGTTCTCAGTAAAGTACAGATTCTAGAACTTTTGTTGGGTTGAGTCCCATCCGGGATGCGGCTGTTTACTGTTACTTCCAGTAACTGTTCACCATGCATCTGGTGCGGGATCAGACTAACAGCTTACGGACCGGGATTAATCCCCGACGGACCATGTATATTATCCTCTCAGTGAAAGACAAACGAAATTAAAATGTTTCGAACACATGATTGAGAAAGTTGGCTCTCGTCATTTCTAAACACCACGCCGTCGACCTTCGACTTCGACTATTTCCGACGTCAGTCATCAACCGCATTATACAGATCGTACAGCTAACCCTGACGCAGACCTAAATTTACATACTGTAATAGGTGTCAGATAAAATTCACAAACAAAATTAATCTTAAACGGAGGATGGCAAACAGAATGGCCAGTAATGGCGGAAGTTCTAATGTAACCATCACAATTGTGATTGCCCTGCATGGGTGTGCCCTAAACGTGGATATGTACTTTGTAAACACTACCGACGTTTTTTATATGTCAGCTGTTGATGGATCCTGCTATTCCATCCTTTCATCTAACCTAATAGAAATGGTATTGACTTTCGACTACCGAAGCACACGCAATAACATTTTTGTTATTTTTGATAACGCATCAGACTGGTTGACTCCGTGGAGATTACTATCGACTTCAGCAAGCAGGAGGCGAGCATGAGGCATCGGTTTGATATCGCAGAGAGGGCAACAGGCCTAGCGAATGTACAGCAAGCACCATCTGTGTACAACCATTACTAATCTACTATCTCTATACAAGTACTGATCTACCATCTGTACAGCCCTCTGTGCTATAGCGGGAGTTCGATCATCCCCACACTGTATTGCATGTATATAGTACTGTAGGTGCACGTATTGTTATGATTAATACATGCAACATCTCTGCACAGTGTATACACGTGTGTTTGGGGAATACACGGGGACTAAGAACGCCTTCCGTGAATAGCGCGACCTCCTTAGTCCGAACCTGGTTAATCAGGACACCCTGCCACAGAATCACCAGTATAGGAACGTGTGTATCAAGTTAATGGTCGAGACTTGGGGCAATTAGCCCATACATGGCATTGGTGGATGTCTCACGTACAACAGTTTCTGCAACATATGCTGGTCGTTAGGGGCTACTGGAAGGATCGGGCGGTCAGACTCGCTGACTTGATTGACACACAAGTAGTCACCGTATCCTGTTTCCATGGATCAATGCTCATGATGTCAATCAGCGGATTGTCTGGTCCAGACTCGACTATTTACTGACAACCGTCATTCAGCTACAGCTTCTGTGTTGGGCGTTAAACAACAATCACCAAACATATTGTTGTCCTGTTGTCGTATCCAGGCCTTGTGTTACTATAAATCTTCCACTCCATTAATACCTTTCAAACACAACATGAAGGGGCGGTACAGTTCGTTAATCTGGCCGAGCACCCACGGAACGGTGGCGTCCGGGTGAACGCAGCTTCACTGTGGAGTCCCTCCAGGTCTAACGTCCTGCTACTGTGGGGCATATTGGTTGTATTGATCCATACAAGCATGTAAATGCAGACTGACAGACACAGATACTAATACATGCGTGTTGGAATCATGGGTCATATGTCAGCGATAATCGGGCCTAATGTGGCAGATAAGTTCTCTACGACAGCATAATACTCCTTATTCACTATTAGCGTCAAGCCGGCAATCGGCTCAAACATGTCCCATGAGGCCGGAAAAGGCCGAGTGGACCCGAGAGAGACAAACCAGGTGGCCACTCAGATTAACATTCGTGATATACTGTAATTGGTTTAACACATATCAAGATTCTACAACTAAACGGAAACATTAGTCAAAGTCCGCAGGACAACAAGTGGTAACAAAATACGGATGATCCTGGTGACTCTGCCAAAAGACACATCGAAAACTCAACAAAAGCTAAGATCAGTATTTTCCTCTAAACTGTGAACCTCACAAATTGAGAATCGACTAGACAACCGTATGATTTAGAGCCCAAGAACAGACTAGCCGCCCACAGTAAGGACATACATGGGTACGGTTACTCATAGGTGAATATGGATTTGCCGGAAATGGGGAACGCCAGGAATGATCTTTACACATTGTATCCTTTCAGGGAATCGAACCCAGGACATCGGCGTGACGAGCCAAAACGAAGAGTAAAGACGGAACATACAGGGACCAGTCATCGCTTGACACAAAGGTGATGACTTAATCGTGTGTTCATATCGTCATGTTCCACTTGCTATAACGTGTGCTGTTGCTATCGACCACTGGTTTCTGTTGCCGGTAAGGGCAGGTAGCCATGATACAGATGAACTATTGTCGTCTCAGGCGGGTGCCCTCGTTCGTCACTGAGCAGCGCGTGGTAATATAACTAATGTGGGTTGTCCACACTGTTCAAACGTGTGTGAAATCATAACTCACTAAATTGCTCAGAATCACTAGGAATGACTGAGTGAGTGAGTTTAGTTTTACGCCGCTTTTAGCAATATTCCGGCAACATCACGGCGGGGTACACCAGAAATGGGCTTCACACACTGTATCCATGTAGGGAATCGAACCTGGGTCTTCGGCGTGATGAGCGAACGCTTTAACCACCAGGCTATCCCACCGCCCCCAAGAAGTGAGTGAGTGAGTTTAGTTTTACGCCGCACTCAGCAATATTCCAGCTATATGGCGGCGGTCTGTAAATAAATGAGTCTGGACCAGACATTCCAGTGATCAACAGCATGAGCATCGATCTGTGCAATTGGGAACCGATGACATGTGTCAACCAAGGCAGCGGGCCTGACCATCCGGTCCCGTTAGTCGCCTTTTTCGACAAGCATGGGTTACTGACGATCAATATTCTAACCCGGACCTTCACGGGTTGAATCACTAGGAACATAAGACAGCACTATTGTATTCTCCAGATGCTAATGTAACAATAGGAAAGTCGCGAATTGTTAC